TTACGCCGGAGCGAAGCTCCTCTTAACGAAGAACTCAATTCTAAATTATTAGAAGACGTTCTTGATACAATCGATGAAAGGCGAGATCAATCCCTTATTCGACTTCAAAACTATCAGCAATTGACCGTTCGGTACTATAACTCAAAGTTGAAAAACAGACCTTTAAATGTAGGCGACTTTGTTTTAAGGCGAGTGTTCGATAACACAAAAGAGGAAGGAGCTGGAAAACTCGGTATTAACTGGGAAGGCCCTTATCAAATCACAGAAAAAATCCAAAATGGTGTTTACCATCTACAAGACCTTGACGGAAACCCCGTTCAAATGCCTTGGAACATCATCAACTGAAAAAGTTCTATTGCTAAAGCAAACACAATCGAAATACGATTTGGCTTGATCCTATTTTGGGTACGTAGGCAGCTCGCTAAACACGAGTGTTGGTACCGGATCCCGCAAGGGGTCCATTTTACATGTTGGAGAACCATCACTTTACAAAGTCCAAGGAGCCCTATCTTGCTAAAGGGAGTGGTCAAACCTTGACATTAATTTGTGATTAAATTCATGAATTAATTCTATTGTCAAAGAAATAAAGTTTGTCATTCAAGACTAGGAGTTAATTGCCAAAAATTGGAGTTATTTTATGGAGTTAATTCTGAATTTAATGACCAAGTAAACACACCCTATAAGGGAGGAAGAGGCTATAAAAGAGAGGTGAAGACTCCAAGAAAGGGAACTCACATTCTTCTACACAAGATTCATCTTCTACATTTCTCACCATTATTTTGACACAAACAATGTCATTCCTAATAATGACTAAATACATTCTCTTTGTTGTAATAGAACTACGTTTTGGCTTGATCCCGCTTCGGGTACATAGGCAGCTCGTCTCTCGAGTCCAACTATAACAAAATCTATATTATTTACTCCACAAATTTATACGATCTATTCAACCCATCTTTGTGCTTGTCTTATGAGAACTTTGTCCCATCTTTCACATGATGTTACCAACCTTGTGGGGACCATAAAGTTTCTTGTCTTTCAAGTACGAAGTTGTGACGACGAAAGAATGAGATTTTCTCTCGAAAACATCCAAACCTCGGTGACAACAAGAAAGTGCCACCAATTCAAACTGCTTCTTTGCGAGGTGATTTCCCAGCAATATCTCGGAGATTTTTCTGAGTTCCAACTCTTAGAAAACTGAATTTACTTCGGTGGAATCTAAGTGTTGAGTTCGCTCTTCACAAAAACTAGATTCCACCTCACGGAGATTTTCCAAAGTACAGTCTTTCGGAAAAAATATTCAATTCAGTGGAATCAAAGTGTCGAGTTTGCTCTTCACAAAAATTAGATTCTGCCTCACAGAGATTTTTCGAGTACCATCGCTCGGAAAATATATTTACTTCGGTGGAATCTAAGTGTTGAGTTCGCTCTTCACAAAAATTTGATTCTGCCTCACAGAGATTTTTCGAGTACCATCGCTCGGAAAATATATTTACTTCGATGGAATCTAAGTGTTGAGTTCGCTCTTCACAAAAAATTGATTCTGCCTCACAGAGATTTTTCGAGTACCATCGCTCGAAAAATATATTTACTTCGGTGGAATCTAAGTGTTGAGTTCGCTCTTCACCAAAATTAGATTCTGCCTCACAAAGATTTTTCGAGTACCATCGCTCGGAAAATATATTTACTTCAGTGGAATCTAAGTGTTGAGTTCGCTCTTTACAAAAATTAGGTTCTGCCTCACAGAGATTTTTCGAGTACCATCGTTCGGAAAATATATTTACTTCGGTGGAATCTAAGTGTTGAGTTCGCTCTTCACAAAAATTAGATTCTGCCTCACAGAGATTTTTCGAGTACCATCGCTCGAAAATATATTTACTTCGGTGGAATCTAAGTGTTGAGTTCGCTCTTCACAAAAATAAGATTCTGCCTCACAGAGATTTTTCGAGTACCATCGCTCGGAAAATATATTTACTTCAGTGGAATCTAAGTGTTGAGTTCGCTCTTCATAAAAATTAGATTCTGCTTCGCAGAGATTTTTCGTGTACCATCGCTCGGAAAATATATTTACTTCGGAGGAATATAAGTGTTGAGTTTGTTCTTCACCAAATTAGATTCCAGCTCGGAGATTTTTCTAAGCTTCAACTCTCAGAAAAATAAATTTACTTTGGTAAAATCTAAGTGTCGAGTTCGCTCTTCACTAAATTAGATTCCACCTCGGAGAATTTTCTGAGCTCCAACTCTCAGAAAAATGAATTTACTCTGGTGAAATCTAAGTTTCGAGTTTGCTCTTCAGCGGTTGCGTACATGCGCTAAGTATAGCCTTAAGTCCTACCAAATATAGGTTACTCAAGTACAAACTGACACCTACTATGCAAAAATTTCCAACGCAAAATTCTAGTCAATGTTCAAACATTATTCTAGTTCAGTTCAAGAAAAGTAAACAGTTCTTACACTAGCTTTTCTTCGAACAAACAATTCCAAACTATCAGGAATGTTTTTGTAAGCCGAGCTCTAACCTCGCATCCGAGAGATCGAGAAAAAATTCTAATGTTTTTTCTTTAAAAAAGGCAAGTGGGTCTGATCAGCCTATCTCTCCAATAAGCCAAAGCCATTTCGGTTAGGAGGACCTTGCAAACCCTCCAGATAAAACCGATGGTTTCCACCAAATTAAATATTTCTTCCAAAATGAAAATTTAATACCCCCTCGGGCAAAATATTCTGACAAAGAAAATAAAGGCCCCTTGGCCAGGAAACCAAATTCTACTTTGAATTTGAATAAAAGGGCCGAGGCCGAGCTTGCACCGAACTACGTTAAAAAGCCGAGCCCGTCTCGCACCAAACTACGTTCAAAATCCGAGCCTGCTCGCACAGAGCTACTTTAAAAAGCCGAGCCCGTCTCGCACCAAACTACGTTCAAAAGCCGAGCCTGCTCGCACAGAACTACATTTAAAGCCGAGCCCGTCTCGCAATAAACTATGTTCAAAAAGCCGAGCTCGCCTCGTACCAAAATACGTTCAAAAGCCGAGCTCAATGCTCGCATTTACGCGAATAAGTCTTTAGGCAAAAACGAGTTCACCTAGCATCTAGCAACAAAGTTTGCATGCCTAATATACCTCGCAGTTAATACGAGTTCACCTTGCATCTAGCAATAATCAAAATTATTGCCGCAGGATTGTCAAGAATATAGTTCTCCGAGCAAATCATCTTACTCGAAGAACTTGGGGGGCTAATGTTGGTACCGGATCCCGCAAGGGGTCCATTTTACATGTTGGAGAACCATCACTTTACAAAGTCCAAGGAGCCCTATCTTGCAAAAGGGGGTGGTCAAACTTTGACATTAATTTGTGATTAAATTCATGAATTAATTGCCATTGTCAAAGGAATAAAGTTTGTCATTCAAGATTAGGAGTTAATTGCCAAAAATTGGAGTTATTTTATGGAGTTAATTCTGAATTTAATGACCAAGTAAAGACACCCTAGAAGGGAGGAAGAGGCTATAAAAGAGAGGTGAAGACTCCAAGAAAGGGAACTCACATTCTTCTACACAAGATTCATCTTCTACATTTCTCACCATTATTTAGACACAAACAATGTCATTCCTAATAATGACTAAATACATTCTCTTTGTTGTAATCGAACTACGTTTTGGCTTGATCCCGCTTCGGGTACGTAGGCAGCTCGTCTCTCGAGTCCAGCTATAACAAAATCTATATTATTTACTCCATAAATTTATACGATCTATTCAACCCATCTTTGTGCTTGTCTTATGAGAACTTTGTCCCATCTTTTACATGATTTACCAACCCTGGGGGGTTCGGGTTCCACAACGAGTCCAGCTATAATATAAAAATAAAAATATTATTCCAGTCATGGAGTCGTGTTTTTATAAATTCATATTCCAGCATGAATATAAAAATACGTTGCGAACAATGTATAAATAAATATTTCTAGATAAGCTAGAACCAGATCTAGAAGGGTCTTGAGTTACGGAATAGCTCTACTCCATGACCTGCGAGGTCAACGATGCTCATAATACAACCTGGCATGTTTCCGTACTCCTGAAGTCCTAGCTCGATCCAATCGGAAGGATGGGCTTCGAGGCGATGAAGCTCACGAGCAATATCGAGGCGACGCTTCTCTAGTTCCATTCTTTTTCTTCTAATCTCTTTTTTCTCATCTCCGAGCTCTTTATGCCGAGTAATAAGCTGAGAAAACAAAAACGCTTCGTTTAGCAAACAACGAAAGGAGTCAGGTTACTAGGTTTAACAATACCTTGTTAATAAACTCTTTAGCCTTGACACGATCTTGAGCCGATAATCTCTCGATTAACACATTTGGGACCTGAATGTTGGTTCCCCACCCTAATGGGCGTGACTCTTCTGTTTCACCATTGGCTTCCGTTTTTACAAGCTCGATGTCTGACGTTTCTAGAAGATCGTCGCTTATCTTTTTAAACGAGTCGGAGGGATTCTCTGAGGAATTACCTTCCTTGAACATTTTTGTAGGATTATTGTTGATTAAATTCAATAATGAGCTACACCTACTTTATATTCGAAATATACTCAATTACATTTAAGAGGATCAATTGACGATTTCCAAAAATCTGAAATTACCATCTTCGTAGGAAATGTAATAGAGTTAATTACTAATTATATTCCCTAAATATAACGCATTAAATAAGATTTGAATAAATCGGCAAATTTAAGGCGAAAAGGGAAATATAATTAATATTGCTGGGCTTCTAGCCCAATAGTCTGTTACAAACAAAAAAAAAATCAAGAGACTTGTTCGATCAGAAGTCTTCGCCTGATAATGATTCCAGCGAGGTGGACGATCCCGAACAACTTTCTGAAGAAAGTCCCTCGTCGGAAGATAAATCGAGGAGACCAGAAGAAGGATCAATAGATTTCTCCTCCGGTCCTTCATTTTCTGCAGTTCTTAACATCGGAAATCTCCGGAATTCTGAAGAACATGAGACAAAAGAAGATCCGTCGCCAAAAATGAAGGACCGGAGGAGAAATCTATTGATCCTTCTTCCGGTTATAGTAAGCTTGGTTAGTGTTTTTAGAGTCAAATATGACTAGATCTCGTGTTTATGATTGGGTATAAGAACTAGAACCGCAACCGGATCCCATAAGGTAAAGTAGTGTTTTTCCGTTTAGAATCTTCAAAATAGAAAACTCATAATTCTTTGGTCACACCCACAAAGATTTGAGAAGCAATAAGAAGCTTGGTTAGTGTTTTTGGAATCAAATATGAGTAGATCTCATGTTTATGATTGGGTCTAAGAACTAGAACCGCAACCGGATCCCGAAAACTAAAGTAGTGTTTTTCCGTTTAGAAGCTTCAAAACCGAAAACTCATAAGCCTTTGGCCACACCGACAAAGATTTGAGAAGCAATAAGAATCTTAATTAGTGTTTTTGGAGTCAAATATGACTAGATCTCGCGTTTATGATTGGGTATAACATCTAGAACCGCAATCGGATCTCATAAGCTTAAGTAGTGTTTTTCCGTTTAGAAGCTTCAAAACCGAAAACTCATAAGACTTGGGCCACACCCACAAATATTTTAGAAGCAATAAGAAGCTTGGTTAGTGTTTTTGGACTCAAATATGACTAGATCCCGTGTTTATGATTGGGTATAAGATCTAGTACCGTATTGGATCCCAAAAGATAAAGTAGTATTTTTCCGTTTAGAAGCTCCAAAACCGAAAACTCATAGGACTTTGGCCACACCCACAAAGATTTGAGAAGCAATAAGAAGCTTGGTTAGTGTTTTTAGAGTCAAATATGACTAGATCTCGTGTTTATGATTGGGTATGATGCGGTAATCAACCCAAGAAACAACCACAGAGAAGATTATGGGCGAGAAAAAACAACCCAGGAGCAGCCATGTGGGATATTTAACCAAGTTTTATCCAAAACTTCGGGCCAAAGCCAATTCAGCCTACCCGAGAAGACCCCTGAGCTTTGTTCAGTCCAGACGAAGTCCAAGATTAATTCATCCTGCCCAGAGAACACTTGGAATACATTTTCAGCTCAACTACCGAGCACCTCGAAGAAGAATCAGCCCAAAAGGAGTTCACACGAAGGAGTTATTCAATTTACAAGTCAAGTGATTCCCAGCTTACCCGATTTGGACATACACGGAGTAATTGGAGGATTCCGAACCGACCAGAAAGATTTAAGCTACGAAGTGAATTTTCCTTCATTTATGACTCATCAGGGGAGCTCGTCGAGTTGGAATCAAGTCAAAACCGATTTTGTTTTAGGAGATATTAAATTTCTAAACCAGATGATTCTCGGCTTGCCTTATTTGGAAGCTGACGGGTTTGGTCACTTGCAAACCAAAATTTGGCGTCCAGGAGAGTTTATAATACAACTAGAGGATCCTAATATCACCCAAAGCTTCATTCTCAGCCATTGGATTAAGTGGATTCAATCTTGCCTAATCATACACCAAGAGTTACCATATATAGACCCGAGAGCATTCAAAGTCCAACTCCAACGGCTTTCTTCTGATTTGGTGCGACTTAAGGGAGTTATTAGAAGATTAATAAGCCATGGAATCATCCAGAAGCTGTCAAGATACAAGAGCCCACGAATTACTCCTTTTGGCCTAAGCATTCAAAGCCTAACGGCTATATTCTTTCAAGGCACATCTCCACTTGATTTCTTTCATTTATTTCTTGTATTGCTTTCCTATTTTGAGTCATTATACTGTTGCACCAATTCTAGAGTCGAGCCTATATAAGCTCAAGTCATTTCTTTGTAAAACCAACCCTTGATCATATTAAAGTAATAAGAACATTTTCTTCTTGTCAAAGTTTGAGTCTTTGTCGTTTGTTCATTAGTCTTAAGTGAGTGAGTCTCTTAGGCCTATTTGAATCTGAGGATTAAGTTTGTTGATAAGTTCAACATCCTTGTTTCGTTCATTGATCGAGTGAGTCGATTACCCATTGATTGAGCAAGTCAATCATACACTATCTCCACATCGTTTCCATCCATCCGCGGGATTAAGCTTGGAATCTCTTGATCATTGAGTGATCATAAGTTGGATTGGTTCCAATCTTATATCAGGGTATAAGAAATAGAACCGCAACCGGATCCCGTAAGGTAAAGTAGTGTTTTTCCGTTTAGAATCTTCAAAATAGAAAACTCATAATTCTTTGGGCACACCCACAAAGATTTTAGAAGCAATAAGAAGCTTGGTTAATGTTTTTGGAATCAAATATGAGTAGATCTCATGATTATGATTGAGTATAAGAACTAGAACCGCAACCGGATCCCGTAAACTAAATTAGTGTTTTTCCGTTTAGAAGCTTCAAAACCGAAAACTCATAAACCTTCGGCCACACCCACAAATATTTGAGAAGCAATAAGAAGCTTGGTTAGTGTTTTTGGAGTCAAATATGACTAGATCTCGCGTTTATGATTGGGTATAAGATCTAGAACCGCAACCGGATCTCATAAGCTAAAGTAGTGTTTTTCCGTTTAGGAGCTTCAAAACCGAAAACTCATAAGCCTTTGGCCACACCGACAAAGATTTGAGAAGCAATAAGAATCTTGGTTAGTGTTTTTGGAGTCAAATATGACTAGATCTCGCGTTTATGATTGGGTATAAGATCTAGAACCGCGACCGGATCTCATAATGACACGATCCTCCCGAGGACTCGGCACTCTAAAGTTGAGTAAGAGATAAAGGTGGCTGTGAAGCCATGATGATGGATAGATGATCTCGATCTAGAGACGACACACGACTCAACAACGAGAGAATAGATCAATGGATATCACAGAAGTTTGCGGAAGAACTTCATGATACCGAAACTTAGATCCTTTGGATATACACACCAAAAGAGACTAAGGGTTTTGCTGGATATACGCACCAACAAGATGATCTTCTTAGAAAAGGTTTTTGATAAAAAGAAAGATGGGTTCTCATAAGAGATTACAAGAGGATATATAGGAGAGAAGAGAATGTAAAGAGACAAGTCTTGGAACAAGCTCCAAGGCTGCCTAAAAAACACAAGAGAAATTAAAATAGAGTTTGAATTTGAAAAATAACCCTTCAACTACTAAGGCCACGAAAATGTCTCATTATTTAGTGGGCTTGGGTCTTGAATCATCAAAATGGATTATATGAAGTGAAAACATAAGCCTCGTTAAAAACCTCCCTTTGCAAAACCCAGTGGGACAAAACCAAAGGCAGGGAAAAAGAGCACTCATGAATCACTTATCCATCTTGACGAGGTCCTTGAGCATGGATCAAAACCAAAGAGGTAGTGACTTGGCTCAAGTCATTTGGTCGGTCCCAAATGTGGTTAAGCATCCCTCCAATGGCTTGGTTGAATAGCTTAACTCTAGAACGAGTCATTGGACCAGTTGGTGCGATCAAAGCTTCCTCGGGTACAAGCTCCTCCTCGGCTACAAGCTCATCCTCATCTACAAGCTTAGCTCCTTTAGTTCCTTCCTCGGCTACAAGCTCACGTTCAAGCTCCAGTTCATGCTCCACATCCTTAGTGCTATGCATGATCATATCATCCCCTCCCTCTTGAAAAGGATTTGACCTCAAATCCGTTTGATCTGCAATATACGGCACCAAGTCAGAAACATTAAAGCTAGAGCTCACATTATACTTACCTTGCAAGTCCAGTTGGTAGGCATTGTCGTTGATCCGTCTGACTATCTTGAATGGACCATCAATTCTTGGCATGAGTTTGGACTTCCTTTGAGTAGGAAACCGCTCTTTTCTTAAGTGAATCCAGACTTTATCTCTAACTTCGAAAATCTGCTCACGTCTCCCTTTATTAGCTTGCTTAGCATAGAGTTCGGTCTTTTCTTCTATGTTCCTCCTTGCATTTTCATGGATCTGTTGCACTAGCTCAGCCTTCCTTTTACCATCAAGACTAACTCTTTCACTCAAAGGCAAAGGGATTAGATCCAAAGGTGAGATGGGGTTGAACCCATAAACAATTTGAAAAGGAGAATACTTAGAAGCAGAATGCACAGCATGATTATATGCAAATTCAACATGAGGCAAGCATTCTTCCCAAGTTTTAAGGTTCTTTTTGATTAATGCACGCAAGAGAGTACCTAAAGTTATATTAACCACTTCTGTTTGACCATCAGTTTGCGGATGACATGTAGTAGAGAATAACAGCTTAGTTCCTAATTTAGTCCACAAAGTTTTCCAAAAGTAACTAAGGAATTTAATATCTCTATCCGAAACTATGGATCTAGGCATCCCATGCAAACGAACTATCTCTTTAAAGAACAGATTAGCTACATGCAATGCATCATCAGTTTTATGACAAGCAATAAAATGAGCCATCTTAGAAAATCTATCAACCACAACAAAGATAGAATCCTTTCCAGTTCTAGTCCTAGGCAATCCCATCACAAAATCCATTGAAATATCAGTCCACGGGTGAGTAGGAATAGGTAAAGGAGTATACAAACCGTTGGGTCGAACCTTTGATTTGGCTTGCTTACAAGTAGTACATCTTCCACAGATTCTTTCAACATCACGTTTCATGTGTGGCCAATGAAAATGTTCTTTCATGACTTCCAAAGTCTTAGCAATACCAAAGTGTCCCATTAGTCCTCCTCCATGAGCTTCCCTGACAAATAGGTCTCGTAGAGAGCAGTTAGGAACACACAAACGGTTCTCATAGAAGAGAAACCCGTCTTGTCTAAAATAATGACCAGAAGCATACTTCTCACAAGATTTATAGATTTCTTGAAAATCATGGTCAGTTGCATAGAGTTCTTTTATTTGCTCAAATCCCATAAGCTTAATATTAAGAGTAGAGAGTAGGGTGTATGTTGGGGTCGGATTCCATCCCTAGCACCGAGCCGGATTCGGACGCCTCAGGGAAGTCCTGAAGATCACTTCGGGGAAGCATACCAACCACTTCGGAGGAAGCAAGCCATCACCTCAGTGCAAAGTGCTATTCACCTCGGGTCAGCACAACAGTCGCCTCGGGGAACGCATGTAGCCTGCTCAGGATCTGCCAGCAAGCTGGTGAACCCGAGCCGGCTCTCTTCGAGTGC